TCTTATCAGGTGTGTGCTGAATAAAATTTGGGGAACCTGTTTCGAATATTCTTCTCCATACTTGAAGGGGATGAGGGACTCGAGGCTTCAGTGGTTTGGGGCCAGTCGAACGTTGAAGGTTTTCCATGGGTTCGTTCGTGGTTTGCATTCATTTTCTATATATGCATTTTTTACAATCATTGGACAGTTTCACAGAGCAGGGATATTGCGATTAAAATGATAGTTTCACTGAATAAGCAGTGGAAACCCAACTGACATGAAATAATCGAAACAAGAGTTTCTTAACTTTTTTTAGAATTTGAAATTGTTGAAAATGCGAGGTTTATCAATTTAATTATGACTTGAACTTGGAAAATGAAATATGAGAATTTGAGTTATATTGAACAGCGGATTTCAAAAATTATGCTAATACAGTACTATTAATTTAGAGTTGAAAATACAGGCAAAAGGTAGAACGAAAAATTCAAAATTTGAATTTTGAAATTCATATTCATGTTAAACTTTGATATTTATCAATGTTTACCAGCAGTAAAGTACAGTAGTATTTTTCTGGAGTTGAAAGTACAGGATAGCACAGGACCGAAATTTTGAATTTTTTCAAAATTCTGAAATTTGAAATTTATATCCATTTACAGTATCACAGTTTTCAGAACTGCATTCATTTTTGATCTACATAAAACATAATAGATCTTTAAATTTCATGGCAATCGAGAATGGGCCTAAATTCAGCTTTCTTGCTGATTTTTTGTGATTCAATATTGCATAACATATCATTTCCGTGTGGGAACAATTTTTCATTTTTCACCGGAAATTCCAACGAAGGGATTGGAACGAATCGTCTGTAACATACCACATGAATTTATAATAATTTATCGTTGAAAAACTTTTAAAAAATGCTTACCTCGTGGGAAACACGTGACTCTAGCTTATTTCCCAATGTATTTGCATATATACAGAACCTCTTTCGAAGATTTGTTCAGAGTCAAACCACAGCCTATATTTTCAAAATCTAAAATATTTGTTGTGGCAACCCATTCGATATCCTCACAAGTGTCGAGGACAGAGGCAAATTTTGGAGTGTCATATATTCTTAGACACCATTTTGTGATGAGTAAAAGTGGCGTCGTGTGCACTTGTGGACTCACGTATGTGTGTGTCATTCGTCACAGGAAAAATGGAACCAGTGTCATGCTAATAAAAGCGGTCGACAGCGTCGAGTGTCGACATCACTTCGTCAGCAGCTGTCTGCTGCGGAAGAACGCATAAATTTTCTAGAAAGTGTGGGATTCTTCTCGAAGATTTTGACTCATAGCATTCAAATTCATGAAAATAAGTTTTAAATTTTTTTCTTCTGAAAGAAGTGACATTTTTCCAGGAAGGGTGATGTTGACTGTGGATATTAATTCCTCTGAAAGTCTCTATCGTATTCGATAACTCAAATGATTGAAACTATTTCCAGGAGTTATTCCCTCGAAGTCTTGAAAAAATTATCCCTGAAAAAAGTGCAAATTTGTTTTTGCTGAAAAATAAGAGTGATGGCTTGTCCGTTTTTGGCCCGAGTTCCCGGCGCATTCGTGCGCAATCATGGTCAAGGAGTTGTGCAAAATTTCGGCGACAAATGCCCCTACTTGTCCAGGATGGTGTCGTCTTTCCACGCTGCGGAAGTTGAGCAAAATGTTGAGCACAAAACCCCGGGGGCAACTGCAACTTTCATCAATTTGCAGCAGCAGAAAAAGCCTGACACCAATCACAAGGGAGAAAGTGTGAGGAGAAACGTTGCGACAGGATCTGGTGAGTTGTTATTGTTCTTTTATTTTAAAGGCACACAATTTTTTTTTTTAGGGAAATCTCCTCATTGATAATTTTTGCGTTTTCAAGACTCTGAAGCTGGAAGGTCGTCCGAGGGTTTATTGAGAAAACCCTTTGGGTATGAGTCGTTCTTCCAGGAGCAAATCGCGAAAAAGAAGATGGACCACTCGTACAGGATCTTTAAGAAGGTCAGCCGTTCTGCGGACGCATTCCCATATGCCAAGGAATATTCGTGGGGAGAAAGACCCGTGACGGTTTGGTGCTCAAATGACTACTTGGGCATTTCCAGGCACCCATTGGTCCGTGAAGCTGTCATGTCAGTATCTAATAAATACACAGAAAATTATTCGTAAATTTAATAAATTTCTTGGGTCTCAAAATTTCAAATTTAGGCTTCAATTATTCAGTGAATTTTTACAATCGGATAAATTTATTGCGATTATTTTCTACGTGCCGAAGATTCAAGATATTATACGAAATTCATTGGAATTCAGTACAGTAACCACAATGAGAAGCGTTTTATCACATGCGATACGCGAGTTAGAGTGACATCTATACACAAAATATGTAAGTAATAATTCTAGATCCTGTCAGGTGTCACGCCAAGTTAACAGATCCTCGCTTCTATGAATCGAGGAAGGGGGCTGGTGATGTACTTTTCAGAACAGGAAACTTGACAAAAACACAGGGTTTTTTTATTTTGCATGGTTGTTTTTTTTTACTTCTGCTGTATGTGCATATTACATGGGCTAGTATAGTGCAAAAGTATATTGGTTGGATAATTTCTTTAGAATTTGTAGGCCCCTGATATACAAGGTACAATACCTCACAATTTGACCACTGTGCAATTCATCCATTATGAAATTTGACAGACAAATTCGCTTGGATGTTGACTCCCAATTTGACCAACATACCAATGCAAAATTTTAAATACACTGTGGAAAACATTGCATTTGATGTTGTCTTGCAATTTGACTGCTTCACAATTCGACCATAGTCCAGCAATTGGTTATTAGGATCAAATTGGGATGAGCTCCACCTGCATTTAAAAACTGGATAATTTCAAGCTGCATTGTCTCCAACCATGAATTTTGAAGACATTACAGTGGGCCCCCATCTTACGTCATCAATCCGTTCCAGGATGGACGTTGTAACATGGGGCCGTCATAAGTTGAAACCCTATTTCCCTTACAGTTACATTATAAAAAAATTAATTTGTTCCAGAAAAAAAATTTTAAAATAAAATTACCTTTATATTTCAAATTTTTGTCAGAAATTGCATTAATAGACAAAAGACATGTTTGAAAGACTGAATAAAACAAAAGTGATAGGGGGTAAGGTAGTGAAATAGGGGAGGAGGAGAATGATTTTCACAATTTTGAGCACTTTTCACAACTTTTTTTCTCATCTTCTTTACACCTTTCTTTTTTCAATTGGATAGTTATTACTTTTTTAACTTTCTTAGGTGCCATCCCAACAGATGGAGGGCTTGGTTCACACACTCAAAATTTTAAATGCCTGGAATAAACATTTAGTTGAGTTTTAAAATTGTAAGAATGGATAATTTTCTGTCAAATTATTAAATTCCTCCTAAACAAAATTATTCAGCTATAATGAAATGCACAGGGCAGCACAGAACACACAAAATTCAAAATCCCTCCTAAAAACAATTATTCAGCAATAATTGGCACAAAAAACTCACTTCCTCTCTGGAAAACTGTTGGTACATGCATGGCACAAAAAAAAACGCTTGGTGGGAGGGAGCTGAAGAACCTCAGAAGCTGTCGTATCATGAAACCCTGACGTAAGTCGGGGATTTTTTTTAATAAAAAAAATAGTCGTAAGTTGAAACCGACGTAACATGGGCCCGTCGCAAGTCGGGGGCCCACTGTATTCTGATGATATTAAGCTGAAAGTAAGGAATTTCTGACCCATTTAGATTTCATCCATGGTTCAATATTGGTACACACCAATATACAAGTGGTACCTTGCCATTTGACCTCCCTCAATCCAACCATCCCGGAATTTTTGATGGTTGAATTTGCTGGGAGGTCAACTCTGAATTCCACCTCTGCCTTGCAATTTGACCTGTGGAGAGACATGAAATGTCAAATGCCGTACAGAAAACATGCCATTTACAGTATTGACATTGTCTTGCAATTTGACTGCTTTGTAATTTGACTCTAGTCCAGCAACAGATTCAGGTCAAATTGTGAGGTACCTCCTGTGTGAGGAAGTCTTGGCGTTTGTAAAAAAAAATTTGAACAAATTAAAAAAAAACTCCTTCAGCAGATTAACAATTCCTGCAGCCAAGTTATATTTAAATGTCTTCATTATGAATGTTTTACAGTGATGCTGTGAAAACGTATGGCTCCGGTGCAGGTGGCACAAGAAACATCTCTGGCAACACCCCCTTGCATGAGCAACTGGAAGCAGAATTGGCATCTCTGCACAACAAACCATCAGCTCTTGTTTTCTCATCTTGTTTCGTGGCCAATGATTCGACTTTGTTCACTCTGGGACGCCATTTGCCTGGTGAGTGCTGATAATTGCAGATTTCCCTCTTATTATCCTTTGAAATGAAATTGGAACATTTTGTCTTATAAATTTTACATGGAATAACGTTCCCCATTTCATCTCTTGTCAGGATGTCACATATTCTCAGACGCTGGCAACCATGCTTCCATGATTCAAGGCATTAGGAACAGCGGGGCCGTGAAGCACATTTTCCGCCATAATGACCCACAACATTTGGAGCAAATCTTGAAAACTGTGGATCCCACTGTCCCAAAAATAGCTGCGTTTGAAACAGTGCACTCCATGACTGGGGCTGTGTGTCCTCTTGAGGTCAGACTATTTTTTGTAGCAAATAGGTTTCTCAGAAGCAATTCATCATATTTCTCGATGCACACTTCTAATGTTATTCCACGCTTTTCAGGAGCTCTGTGACGTTTCGAGAAAATACGGCGCCATGACATTTGTGGATGAGGTTCATGCTGTTGGGCTCTATGGCAAAAATGGCGGAGGCATTGGTGACAGAGATGAAATGTTGCACAAGATGGATATCATTTCTGGAACACTCGGTAAGTATTCTACAACTATATACTGCATTTCAAAACGTTTTGTTGAGTTGAGTACTGTAATGGGTTTCTTTGTTACACCTTCACTTCTTTGTTATGAATAGTACGATACAGTATCAAATACAATATGAATACAGTGCTGGACTCTTCTCTACAGTACAATGATACTGTCTATACAACAATTTTGGCATATTGTGAATCTTTTTTGACCACAAAGGCTTCTTTTATCATGTTGTAGGAGTTATCTGCAAAATATAAAAAAATATATCTGGTCTTTTGAATGCTGTTGTAGATTGTCTACCTTGCTGTATTGATATTGTATCCAATGAAATATTAGATGTACGTATTATCCACAAAGGTAGATTTTATCTAAACATTTAGAGTCAAAAATGCATGAGCAAGCAAATATATGTATACAGTTGAACCTCAATAATTCAAACCTCCCCAAGTTGAATATCTCCCTAATTCAAATTTTTTGAAGTCCCCAAGTGAATTCCCTTCTTAGAACCGATGCATTATAAACCTCTCTAAATCAAAGGCTTCTCTTTTAAAACCTCCATGCTGCCTCATATTTTGTTATGCATTTTGGCTATCATTTTCTTGACACAAGAAAGATTAGAGAAAAAAAATGATGCATTTTGGAGGTAAATGAAAGACTAAATCGTTTAAATGAACTCCTTCCTCAAGTTCAGCATGCTGTTAACTCATTTGAGAAGCTAATGCCAAGGATATTACCATTTACAATTTTCTGCAATTCTTCTACGATACATGCAGAAAATGCATGTTTTCTAAACTCAAACCTCCCTATTAATCAGTTTTTTGATAGTCTTTTGAAATTTGATTTTGAGAGGTTTGACAGTACTGCATAATGGGTGAGTGATATATTCTCATTCTAAAATGCAGTAATTTTGAAGTCCCTGTAGAGTACAGTCAACCCCTGTCTAACGGACTTGATTTGTGCAAGGGACAAGTCTGTTAGACAAAAAGTCGTTTACACAAATTCAATTACATTAAAAATTTCAATTTTCAACACTAATTTTAAACCAAAAGAAGTTTTTTTGGCGGATTTTGTCTGTTGGGCGGGAGGAAAAACTGCNCTGTTGGGCGGGAGGAAAAACTGCTTGCAGAGCTGGTCTGTTTGATGAAAATCCCTCACATGGGAGGTCTGTTAGGTGGGGGGCCACTGTACTGTTGAATTTCTCCCCTCCATCTGAAAAAGTATCTGAAAAAAATAACAAATATTTTCTTGAGGTCCTACACAGCAGTGGCTTTGTTATGCCAAGATTATACTCTGTTGACAGCAACTTTACCCAACATTAACATTTGTATGGATGTGTGGGTGGAGAGAGAGGATGGGGTTTTATGATGGGATGTGGGGAATATTGTTTTATATAACCTTGTGAATGCTAACAAGCAGCAAATAAAGCTTGTTTATCTATCTAAATTACCTTCTTTTACAAATTTCAGGAAAAGCATTTGGGAATTTTGGTGGGTACATTACTGGCTCAGAGTTACTGGTGGACATGATCCGCAGTTATGCTGCTGGCTTCATCTTCACCACATCTCTGGCACCAACCATTCTGAAGGGTGCTTTGACTGCTGTCAGGATCCTGCGCTCGGATGAGGGCAGGGACCTGAGGCGCAGACACCAGGAGTCTGTGCAGTACCTGAGGGAGAACCTTTTGGCTGCGGGTTTCCCTGTGGAGCATTCACCTTCACACATCATCCCTGTCTTTGTAAGTCCTATATATAAATATATACAGTCAAACCCTGATAAGGTGCCACCATAGTTGGTCAGAGATGCTCTTGGTGATACTGTATCACTCTTGGATGGTGGCAGGTTCCTCCTTACTATTCCACAGCAAAACAGCAAATCGGGTTTTTTATTTTTTTTTTTTTATTTTTGCATGCAAGTGCATGTATTTCACTTGGACTGAAGGGCATCAAAATGTACCTGGGTTGAGAATGAAGGACTATAGTGATTAAAATCTGGGAACAGTGAATTCTTCTGTTTTCAAAAATTTTTAATGGCAATCCTACATTCTGAATGCAGGAAAATATGCCACTCAGTGAACTTTTCTTTGGCCAAAAAAAATTATGGCATTTTCCAAACTCAGGGCTTGGTTCTCATTTCATAAGTTCAGATTATTTTCATTTCGTTTCTCTTTGGCACACAATTTCCCAGATATATTCCTACTGAGCTGCAAAAGATTGATAGTTCATTGGACGTAACCATTTGAAAAAAGTTTAATTAGCTGCAACATCTACCCTAAACACAATAACTCCTCATTGCCATGGTCAATGTGTCCAAATTACAATATATGGATAATGTAATTTGCACCATGTGTGACAGCGTTTCAAGACAGTTGTGTTTCTTGTCAATGTATTCATTTCATGACTGATCTTTTATGTTTGTATTTTTTTAAAGGTTGGAGACCCAAAGAAATGCTCAGAAGTGTCTGACCAGTTGATTAAGAGGAAAGGTCATTACATCCAGTCAATTAATTACCCGACTGTGCCAAGAGGACACGAAAAACTGCGCATTGCTCCGACGCCTTTTCATTCCAAGTCGATGATTGACGAATTTGTCAGGGATCTGACCGAAGTTTGGGAAGAAACCGGGCTGAATTTGGTGAACCGCAAATCTGAAATGGTATGCATGCATAATTGTGATGCAAAAAATAATTAATTTACTCTTACAGGATTTTCCAGAAATTTTTAAAATAATTTTTAAACTGATATTTCCACATGACTGAAGAATTTAAGAGGCTGTAAGACAAAAACCATCGAAATTTAGCCCAGGGTAGTTCATACGCAGAATTTTTGCTCGAAGTAATTTGAAGGAAGTTCTCAATTTAATGAACGTTTTTTTCATTTTTTTCCTCAGGCCTGTGCTTTTTGCAATGAGCCAATTTCCGGCACTGAGCTTTCGAGGACGAAACTTCCTTGCGGAGGAGCGATTCCGAGGTGCCCTGGAATTATGAAATTCGCATAAAATACATCCTGTCTTGTCAAATAGTTGCTTTCAAACTCAAGAGCTTAAAAAAGACTTGTCAGGCGATTCAACAAAGGATTGTTGAACAAGAGAAAGTCATCTTGCTGCCCTTCAATTGGCTGCTATCAAAAATGTTCGCTTATCAACTCCGGGAATTTGATGGAATATTTTGCAAACTAATTGCTTTTTTTTTGGGACTCTTGTTCTGACTCGAGGGAATATTCCTTTTTACTGTTGCTTCGTAATCCGGGATATCATCATCATCATTTTCCCCCCAGCGGTGGTAGAATAAATGCAGTTTGAAATTGTGGAGAAAAGAAAAAGCAGGCTTTTCTTCATTTTTTTTTTTTAAAGAGAGACAAAATATATTTCGGTCGTTCAAGGTCTCCTTTTCTCATGCACAGATTTAATTGTTTTTTTTCAGAAGGACGGAATGTGTCGCGATGATTTAATCTTTTTTTTTTGTCAGAAAAATCCCCTGTGGCAATTTTGTTTGCCGACACGAAAGCGAGTCTTTGTTGACTAGCGCCACTCTGAACCTCGCTGAAATAATTCCTGCTGTTCAATTTTCTTTTTGGCTCTACATTACATAAGATATAAATGCACAGATACGTAAAGAGGAAAAAAATCAATTCCTCGTTCCTTTTTCAGCAGTTCAGAAGCAGTCAGTTTTTTTTTTTTTTAGTGTGAAAACAAGCACAATTTTCCGCTGACCACAAAAAATCACGCTCAACTCTCCTCTCAAAAACATTTGGAATTTACAGCAGTTTTACAACAATGAAAAATTTCGCTTCCATCCCCCACTTTCGCATCTGATTCATCATTCATCATTCTGGCCATTGAAATGGGGAGTCGAAATTTGACGAGAGTTTGAAACATTCTATACATTTTAATCTTTAAAAATATTATCGATTTTCTACTCAAATTCCTAAAGCTTCTGACGCGATGATTTTATTCTTCTACAAATACCTGGATTTTTTCAAAAAGCCTGGGTTTGCTGTGTTTTTATTCATGGCATAATATAGAGGAAAACTAAAATTACTATAAAAAGCCCCTGTGAACTAAGAAGCTAGATTCCGCAAAAATATTTCTAGACTTAATAAAGTCACATTTTTGTTCTTATTTTCTATAATTTTAACTATATAAAAAGTGATGATAGTCGAATTTTGGAAAATTGCTGTTTAATTTCGTTCAAAAATGCTCTTGCCTCTGTTTTCAAGTTGAATTCACGGTTTAGGGAACCTCCAATTATTGTGAACAGTCTGAAGTTGTAGACAAAAGGCTAGGAACATTTATTGTTTCAGCTATTTTATGTTAATCTTTTCGTGAATAATTATTCAGATATTGGTTCCGTGTTTCTGGAAACACCTGACCCTGAAATGATGCTTATGAGTGACTTGATTACAGTATATATAATCCAATGAAGACCACTTGATAACGTTGCAATATAAGGAAGATTAAAATTATTTCTTGAATTTTGAAAGAAGCTCTCGGGGATTTTTTTCATGTACACAACATTCAACCAGGAAGAATACTGGGAAGAGGAAAAAAAAAACACACGTAAACAATAAAGCGTAATAATCAGCGGAAATCCACAATAACAAGAGTGACGGCGAGAATAAATCCGAGCAAAATGCTGTTTGACAATGGCGCAGTGACGTGACCTCGACCCATTCGGGTCCTGTTCTTTCCATTGAAAGCAAGGAAGCCGGCTTGGTTGGTGCGAGAGCCAAAGTAGGCGCCGGTGGGCGCCACGGCGGCGTCTTCGTCACGACGCGTCGTCGGTGATTCGGCGTCCATCAAGTCTTGGTCTCCTATGGAGCCCCCTTGTGGCGGCGGTCTGCCAAAATAACTGCCAGCTTCTGAGGGCCTGCAAAAAATTAATAAAAATGAATAAAAGTTGAACCTTGCTTATTGAACTCGAACCTCTTGATCATTTCCACTCCAAGTCAAATTTATGTTTTATACCTTGTTTAAACCCGATTAACTGTCCCCAGCAAAACCAAAAAAAAATTTGTTTCTGCAAAAATTTGGGTGCTCAAGAGCGCAGATATATGTGAACATATTTGAACTAATCAGCATAAACAAATTCCAGAAGTCGCCCAGGTTTTTCTTCCTTGTAAAAATGATTTTTTGTAGAAAGCTTTGGAAACTTTGCATCATTATTGGTGGACATTTTTCTGCATTCCAGCAGCAAAATTGGCATTCGAGGATTTAATAAAGAAAAGGGTTTGGTACTCCCAAAAAATCTTGGATTTTTTTTTACTCCTCTCTGGCTGAATTTTAATCTTCTGTCATTGATTACAGGGTTAGGAACAGTGTAATATCTGAAGCTATAATTTTAAATTAAAATTCAATCCATGCATCTTTGAACCTCCATAGCAAGAACTTCTTCAGGCCTTGGGGTTATAAAAATTTGGCACTATTTTGGGTGTCAAATAATATCAACAGCAAATAATTTGTACTTGGGAATTTTCCATGGTAAAGTGAGAGACTAATTTGGTTGATTTCCCATTCATTTGAAGTCTGGTGTGCTGCCAACTCATTTACCCAACATTTTGAGGCCCCCATGCAGAAGCAGACAATTTGTGATTCCAGAAATATTAATCTGCAGCTTTTTTTTTGTGCAAAAACTGCTGCTGCTTCAACTTGAGAACTTTTCTGAACATAATAAGGATTCAAAGAAATTGAAGGATTTTCAACATTAGTCTGTGTTTTTTGTCTTTCTGTATCCAGCATTGACAACCAATTTGCTAAAAATTTCTTGGCACTGTCCTGAGGTATAACTTTTATTTTTTACTGATTCTTTTCCCATATTTGAGTTTTCTTGAGACTTTTTCTTACTTTTCAGGCAATTCTGATACCCGCCATTTGAAATATCTGTGTTGGAAGAATTTAGTGCAAGTTTCTAGAAGATGGAGGGAAAAAGAAACAATGAAAGAAATTTGTAAAAAAAAAAAAAAAACTAATCACCCAAGTTCATCATTGATTCTTCCTCCGCGCTCCCGTTTGTCTTCTCTGCTGAACCCGTCTGTCCCTGGAGCTACTCTGTCCCTCAGAGGACCTCGACCCGGAGGTTCAATGATGCTGGGTTTCTTACTCTTGCTGTTGCTGCTGCTTCCACTGATGTCAGCAGCAGTGTCAGTGTTGCCAGTGTTGAGGGCGACGAAGGGGTCTTTGGGGCCCGCGTTGCTGCTGCTGCTGCTGCTGCTGCTGGGCAACGCTGGCTTGTCAATTCGCCCACCGCGACGCTCTTCACTGCCCCAGGCGTTCGGGTTATTATTGGACCGAGATGAAGCGGGTTCGTAGTTCCTGGAGTCCAGGTCCAAAAGGGATTGTTCACGCCTGTTCTCGTCCATCAGCTTGTCCATTTGAGGACAGTTGTATGAGCTCATCCTGTAAAATAGAATAATGATGATTACCGTGAGCAAGATATTAACCCTTGTGCAGCAAAGTTGTGATATTTTTGCAGAATTTTGTGCCACTGGGCACTGGGAATAAAAAAAAACTATTTTTTTACCAAGGGCTAAATTGGGAAAAATTCCAAGATTTTCATCTAATCATGCAGAAAATTTTTAAAAATTCCTGGCTGGGTAGCATTTTTTCTTGCATTCCTGGTATAGGATTTGCATGGGAAAATCTTGGAAACAAAAGAAAATTTGCCTCCTGGATTTTTCCCTCCTCAACCTGGGCGCATTTCAGTAACCTTGGGTCAAAATGAAATGCGCATTTCAGTAACCTTGGGTCAAACTGAAATGCGCCACCCCTGGAAAAATCCCGACTCTGCTGCGCACTGAGAAAGAACCCTCTGCTGTCCAAGGGGTAAATACATATATATTGTGGAATGTATTTTATTTTATTGTGTTATCCAAATACAGCTTTTTCTTTGCTATTTTTCCATTCTGAAGTGATTGAATGCGTTTGAATGGATTTGGGTTGTGTGGGGAGGGGGTTTGGATGTGGGAATGTGGATTGAACTTTGTGAACACTGAAAAGCAGAAAATGAAGCTTTCTGTTCATTCATTCAAGATATTACTCAGGAGGACACTCTCTATGTCTGTGTTCCTCAACCTTTTTTGGCCCAAGGAATGGAACATTTTCTATGGATGCAAAGTTTTTCCAAATTTTGCAGACTTTGAATGTGGTTTCTTGAAATAAATTATGGCAGGCACTTGAAAATGTTCTACTTTCTTGCAAAATATAAGAAGAAATGTAGGAGGTATAGTGGAATGTCTTTTAAAATTAGATAGGAAGACGTGAAGAAGGGTTTCTCAGAAAGAAAGAAATTTGTATCAGCTAGCAGTTGAACATTTGTCAACTTTTTTTTATTTTATCATCAGATAATTTGAATATAGCCATTGTCTTTCCAAAATTTCAGATGAGGATGACAGATTTCATTCCTACGTTTGATTCAGTAAATTTGGTGAAAAACTCATCACGAATAAATTAAATACAAATGAAACATACACGTAGTTCAATGAGGAACAGTGTTGACTTTGGGCATTCAAGGCGTTGTCCAGCAATCCTGAAACATATTCCTTGCCCCTCTTGAAGGAATCTTCTCCAAACACTTTCAGCATGGCCCTCTGGCATTTGTTGAACTTCCCCAACATGCATTCCTTGTATAAGTTCATTCCGCTGTGGAAAGAAGAGATAATCGGCAATCGTCGAT